ATTTTCACTGATCGACACCAATCAGATTTGATCAAAACAACGACTTTTAAAATAATAAAACATTATACTAGGCTTAGGTTTTGATCTTAGAAATTTTTTTTACTAAAGCACAGTAAGTAGTTTCATATATAAAATTTTTTAAATTTTTTAAAAAAACATATGATTTTTACATTACACCTGATTTTAAAATCTAATTGGTCAATTTATGTCGATCAGTAAAAATTTGTTGGTGCTACTGGGTAGTTTAGTCTAGTGATTTAAGCCGTAAAGTTTTAGTCGGCTGGCTAAGCTAGCTGACTAAAATATCGGCTAATTAGCTAGCTAACGGCCATACTTTCAGAAATTTTCAGTAAATTTAGCTTGTATTTTATGTTCATTCATTGTCCTTTTCGGAATTTACTAGAATTCTACTATATACTAAGTCATATGATCTTTAGCCGCATTAGCCAGCCGATCTTATTACATTGGCTAGCTCAGCCAGCTACCGTAATAATGCACATTTGCACGTTATTTTGAAGCCTTGCACATTATTTCGAGACACATATGTGCAACATTTTGAGTCATTTGACAAATTTTGGTTACCTACTCATATTTGCACATAATAATGCTTATGGGTGTTATTTCGAATTAAACTTAATTCAGGCCAAATTTCAAAATTATGCCACTGAGTGCTATTACGTGCAAATACAAAATTTCTGCTTACTGCATTATAAAAAAAACCTGTTTATTCCCTATTATGTATTAATAAGCCTATATTACTATTCTATATACATACATATGTACCAAAATTTATTAGTCTTACATAATTAACAAGCCACTTGTATTACCGTGCTGAAATTATTTATATACATATATTTAAAAGGCTAATTCATATAATCTTTAAATGGTTACCTTAATTTGCTTTGACAAATTCTATACTGGTATTTCGGTATTAATGAAAGTTCTTTTGTATATAATGATACTACAACTTAAAAAAAAGATGCAACCATGTTCTATCACTATATTATAAATGTCGATTTGTCTAAATCAACTTACCAAAAATGTAAAGTAATTAAATTTCAAGTCTTATGTAAATTTTAAATCTTAACACTAAAACAGCCAAAATTGCCCCTAAAGCTGTATGAAGATTGAAGAAAAATCTTTTTGACCTTCGTATTCATATGAAAAAAAATGCAAAGAGAAAGAATAATCGAATAAAAAGAAAAAAAAGAATAAATAAATGAATACTTTCTAGTTTTACACCTCTAAACCCACTTATTATAAAATTCAATTTTAAGTTTTTTGAGGGAAATAAATAGGATAGAATGTGATAAAATTTTTTTGTAAATATGTATTGTAAAAGAGCATATAAAATTTAGTTTATTTTATCTTCAAAGTTTTAAAATCTAGTAAATATTCATATAACCATTACTTATTATTTCTTATTATTGATCGAATCATATCTTTTTATTTATAATATGGATAAAAAATTAAAAAAAAAAGTTACCCTATTTCATTTAAGCTTGAAGTAGTTTCCTACGCAGAAAGCACATCAATTTATAAAGCTTCAATATTCTATAAGGTTGATAGAAGACATGTTCAAGAATGGAAAGCCCAGAAAACACAATTAGAAGCTATTAAATCTACATACAATTTAAGTGATAGAAAAGTTAGAGTACTTGGAGGTCATGGTCATAAACCAAAGTATCTGACTTTAGAACAAGAATTAGTAAAGTATGTTAAAGAAAAAAGAGATGAAGGATATCTTGTTACAACAAAAATGTTAGCAACTAAGGCGAAAGAACTAGCTAAAGCATTAGAACTTGGTAATATTAGAGCTTCACGTAGCTGGATTCAAAAGTTTCAAAGAAGAAATAACTTAATACAACGAACTAGAACTCAAATTGCTCAAAAATTTCCTGAGAACACACCAGAAGTTGTTAAAGAATTTCTTAAAACTTCACGTGAAATTGCAAAAAATTTTGATAAAAAATATATACTTTTCTTTGATGAAACACCAGTCTGGTTTGATATGCCACAAAATTTAACAGTTGATTTTTGTAGTATACGTGAGGTTCAGATTAGAACCACAGGAAATAATAAATTATGCTTCACTGTTGTTTTAGGTTTCACCGCTTCTGGTTATAAACTTCCTTCTATGGTAATATTCAAGTTATCCCTTAGATTGTAGTAGAACACAGGCAAATTTGCCTGCGTTTTTACACTTTTTTAGCTCTGATTTACTTTTTT